CCCTAAACCCTAAACCCATAGGATGAGCTCCTATAGGATGAAGTGGACGAGCGCCAGGCCCCGCCATGGGCCTCTGCGGGTTCCGGAGCCCGGCGCGTGCCCGGCGCAGGGCCCGGGAGACGCTTTGCACCGCCTGGAGGGCCAGTTTTAGTTAGGGTTTAGGAGTTTAGGNNGGTTTTAGGGGTTTGGGGTTTTAGGTTTAATGGGTTTAGGGTTTTAGGAGTTTGGGGTTTTAGGGTTTAATGGGTTTAGGGTTTGAGGGGCCGGGGTTTAGGGTTTAGGGTATGTTGAGACTCGAGTACTGTCTCTGGGGCATCCCCATAATACAAATAAAGATATTGTGATGTCTTGATTGGAGTCCCCTTGTTTTGGGAAACTGCCAGATAAAGAACATCATGGTCCTGATAACAAGAGCACAACTCCAAAATTTCAAGGACAGTAGCATCGGTACAAAGAGCCAGCCAAATAATAAGAATCATCATCACCACCAGTCCCGCTCACTTGCCTACCGCGTACCGGGCATGCTGATGTACATCGTGTGTACCCAACCTCATCCTGTCCAATGATGGTCTCGTGCAGCTCCTGCAGGATTGCGCGGGAAGGGAAAGTCCGAGCTGGGCGTTCCAAAGATCAGGGGTCCCCTAGGGGGAGAGGGGGGAAGGGGGGGGGCTTTCCGCTCATAGAAATTCTCCCACATATTATAGTAGTTTCCATTTTCTGTTCCATTATTCCAAATTATTGCCCCAATATACTATAAAAGTTTCCATGTTCTTTTCTATTATCCCAATTTGGGATTGAATATGCAGCTGGGGCTCCCATGTTTTGGCAGACGCTCTTATCCCAATATAACCCTAATTTCAATATAACTCTCATATAACCCATATAATATAGCAGTTTCCATTTTATTTTCCATTATCCATACATAACCCTAATACAGCCCCTATAGCGCCTTCTCGAGATGGAGGAGTCGCGAGGACTCGCTAGCACTCACCTGACAGATGCAGACATGACCGTAGCAGCTGTAGATACAAAGATCTCCGTGCCAGCACTACTTACAGAAGCAAGGGGAGCAGCAGCAACATGGCACCACCACTGTCAAAAAGCAGAGCACCTGCTCCACTGCGATGCCGGTCCAGCTGGACACGACCTGACTAATATTGATGATAGGAATTGGCTTGAGGCTGCAAAGCTTATGGAGCGGGGCAGGGTTCAGGGTTTAGAGCGCAAGGACCCCAAAGCCATGCAACCCCCTTGAGTTAGTCCAGGAAAAGGCCCGGGAGCCACTCCCTCATTCCATGGCCGCTAGGAAGCTGCACACCACAACGGTCCCCGTAACGACTCAAAGTGATCGCAGATATCTTTTCAATCTTTTCTGCGGGAATCAGTCCGCTCCATTGCGTGCCGTTTGCAGGCGGCTCACATACTGCCTGGAGACCCCTACATAACCCCAGTTTCCAGTTCATTTTCCATGTTCTTTTCCATTTGATTCTCCATTATAGGGGGAAAATATATATATATACATATATCCACAATAGTTTCCATTTCATTTTCCATGTTCTTTTCCATTTGATTCTCCATTACTGGGGCAGTTGCATTACGCTCACGTCTGACAGGGTGCAGCCCTGCCTGCGCCACGTCCTCCGCGGTCACTTGGCGCACCAAAGTGGCCTGGCAGGAATTGTGGGTTGCGGTCCGTGTTCGGCATGAAAAGGAACAGGACATGGGTTGTTCTTCTGGGCCCCTTTTGGCTATAGCTTATATCACGGCACCTAACATTTAGGGGTACCCAAATGGAACCCTAATTTTGGGGAACTTCCCAAATACACACCTGGAGTACCGGTACGAATTGCGACCTAACATAGATGGAAGTCTTGCTTGCAAGAAGCGGCAGCCTAACTCAACCAGCTGCGTTGCAATTGCTTAGCCGTCGTGCTGGGCTTTCTAACTTACTTATGTGGGTCATTGAGAACACGTGCACCCTTACTGAACGAGACCTCAGAAACAAACGGGCCCCCTAGACTCCTCCGCATGGGACCCTAACATAGCAGTAATGACCCGAAAGTGCAAGACCTTCCAAGGATCTGATTGCAGAGCCCGCATAAACTGCCGGCGAGATGCTTCGATGACATGCCATCAACATCCCATCAACATCAAGAAAAGCAAACAAGGCTCAAGCAAGTACATTGAGAGGCAGTACCGGCAGCACTGGCGGAAAATTTGTAATCTGGTATTTTCTATAAACAAGGGCACCCCAATTTAGACCCCAATATGCTATAACTTATAATCCTTAATATGGGGATCCCCAACGCCGTGCCCCTAATTTTATATGTCCCCGCATATCCGTAGAAATCCCAATATACCCCCATAGAACCACTACCCCCCCCTTTCAAGGTACCCCCTAATCTTGGGAACCCTACACCCTAAACCCCAAATCCTAAACCCTAAACCCCAAATTCTAGACCCTACACCCTAAACCCCAAATCCTAAACCCCAAATCCTAAACCCTAAACCCATCTGGGTAAGGGTGCCGGAGGCCTCGCTGGGCACACCGCTCTGCTGCAGGATCTCAGCAACCTTTTTTCCGAGGAAAATTAGGATCTGGGATTAGGGTATATGGGTGGTTGTCAAAATTATGGTCCCTTTTGGGGTACCCTAAATATTACGTGCCGTATTATAATAGGGATCCAAAAAGGACCATAATCTTGACAACAACCCATATGGTTTTATATGGGCTGAGATGGGGTTATATGGGTTTGCATGGTTATATCAGATTTCAGATTGAGTGTGTGTGGAGTTCGCGTTGCATGCGTCCAGGCGGGCCTCAACACCAGGGTAGTTTGCCTTGCGCCCGAGAAGCCTAGGATCCTCCCTCAATGGCAAAAGGCACGGCATCAGGAGAATGACATTAGTGCTGACAAGAGTACCCAGCAATGAGAACAGGTGCCAGCAATGAGAGCAGCAACCATTTAAATTTGGAATCATAGTCGAGCCATGGCACGAAGCACTATACCTACAACAGTTGGGAAACCCCCAAATATGTGCGAGCCCTAAACCCTAGACCCTAAACCCCAAACCCCAAAACCTAAGCCCTAAACCTCAAACCCTGAACCCACGTTTCCGTTTCCTTTTCCACCATTTGGGAGCTCTCAATATAACCCCAAAAGTACTATAATCCTTATTATAGGAACCCCAAGAAGGCACCCCTAATTTTAGGAAACCTCCAAATCTGTGCGAGAGAAGGGAAGCCATTTGGGAGCTTCCCTAAGTTACTGTTCCCAAAATGGAGGAAATTTATATAGGGCCCCGAATTATAATAGGAACCTAAATATAGGACCCCGTATTGACAGTAAGTTAGGACAATCCCCATTTGGGAGAATGGAAAAGAAAATGGAAACTCCCTAAACCCTAAACCCTTAACCTTAAACCCTAAACCCTAAACCTAGGAGCTCTCCCGCCTGCTTCTCACGCGCCTTCAACTCCTGGGCCTCCACGAAGCGCTCCGCGGCAACGGCCTGGCTCCAAGGGGCCAAGCCCAAGAGGCAGCTCAAACGGGTTTAGGGTTTTGGGTTTAGGGTTTAGGATTTAGGGTTTAGGGTTTAGGGTTTAGGGTTATGGGGGTTTCCCAAACGTAGGGGTACCTTAAAAGGATATAGGGCTTCTATAGGGATGTATAGGGTTTAGGGTTTCCCAAAATTCGGTGTACCTTTTTTCGGGGAGTCCCCATAGTATATTTGGATTGATACTGGGGTACCCCCATTTTAGGAAACTACCATATGGAGCTTACTGCACTGTAGCAGGACCCGAATGTGTTGCAAAGCACGAACGAAGATGTTGAAAGCGATGGACTCCAAGAAGCTTTGTCAGTGTTCCGAAGCGAGCATTTCGTTGAAAAGGTGCTTGGTGTTGTATCTCAGTACTGTAGAGGCTTGCTCAACTGCATCTATAAAGCTGGATAACGTGACAGCTGCACGGTCTCTGCTGCTTTTTCTCATCATCCGTACTGAGCTAAAACAGCAGTTCATGCCTGAAACTATCATCTACTATGATGTTGTGGGGAAACTGTCCTCACATATCTGTCGTCAACATCATCCACAGACCCACAGATTCAGCGGCACCAGCAGTCTCACTAGTTCCCTGAGGGATATGAGGTCATGCTGTATGCTACCAATCGGGCTTTGCCATCGTAATCTAGCGTTCCTTATGTAGAAAAGCGTCTTCTCTACTATGAGTAGAATGGTTGCTGCTGCATACTTTTCAGCAATGCAAATCAATCTTACCACAAGTTTTGAGCTCATTGCTGCTTGAGCATTGCCACGATCACGATCGTGCTTCTCACAAGGCAAGAATGTTGGTGCATTGAATTCACAGCCTTGGCTCCACACCCCTGAAAGAGCCTAGACCAAAACCGATAACCTTTAGCAACACTGGCCCTCTAAATTGTCTCCCAGAAGTGTGGTGCCAGAATTTTGAATTTGAACTCTAAGCCCTAAACCCAAAACCCAACAATACCCTAAGGCCCTTTAACGCTAAACCCTAACCCAATCCCCCTTTGCTCCCCCCCTTTCTGAGGCCTCGCGGATCTTGGCACCCAGGCTCTGAAGCTCCTAGCAGATCATGGAGGGTTCAGGGTTGAGGGTTAATGGGGTTTAGGGTATTGGGCATTGGGTTTAAGTAAATGGGGTTTAGGTTTAGGGTTTAGGGTTTTAGGGGTTTAGGGTTGAGTTTAGGGTTTAGGGTATCGGGTTCAAAGTTTTGGGCATCTCGCTGCGCGGCAGCTGGAGAAGCTATGTAAAGGTTGCGCCCCGACACACCCAGGGGGTGTGGAGGGGCGGCAGATCTTGCGACGGCACATCTCCCAAGAGTTGGTGCGTTGGTTTTGTTCTTCCTGTTCCTTTTCGGGCTCTGCGCGGACGCCCTGAATTCCCGCCTACTGTATCCTTCAACTTCTGGAATGATACTTACACAAGGGGCCGGCCACAGGTGGAGCCTTCAGGCGGCGGGGCGTTAGGGGTAGTATTGAGTTTAGGGTTTTGGGGTTCATGGGGTTTAGGGTTCAGGTGGTTCAGGGTTTTGGGTTAATGGGGTTTAGGGTTTAGGTGGTTCAGGGTTTTGGGTTAATGGGGTTTAGGGGTATTATTGAGTTTAGGATTTTGGGGTTCATGGGGTTTAAGGTTTAGGTGGTTTAGTGTATTGTTGGGTTGAGGGTTAATGGGGTTTAGGGAATCAAATTGGAGATCCCAACCAATGAGGTACTGCTACGTCTTAGGACGCAACTAGCGCTTCTTCTCGAACTTTCCTTGGCACGAGTATCCTAAGAAGAAATGTGTCTGAACTGGTACCCGGAATGATCATGACAGTGATGAGAGAGAGGTGCTGCTGAGAGAAGAAAACTCTCCGGATCCCGAATAACACCCAAGCAAACCTGTACAAGATCACCCAAAACTCTCAACCCTAAACCCTAAAGCCTAAACCCTAAAGCCTAAACCCTAAAGCCTAAATCCTATTAGCAAGATGCCTTGACAAGGCCCTGGGAGTCAGGACCATCGGCAGAGGCTTGCCGCAGCCTCTTCGAAGACAAGATGTGCCATGGACTGCTTCAAGTTTAGGGTTTAGGGTTTAGGGTTTAGGGTTTAGGGTTTAGGGTTTAGGGTTTAGGGTTGGGAGGCTTCTTTGCTCACTGAACCAACTAGGCAGCTAATTAAACGCAGTCCCTTATGTTTCAAACTGATCTGCATTAAAGCTTGGGGCAGCAGCACATAGGCATGCATTGAATAGCCGTAAAGCCTCGCCAACTTCTCTGCTACTCAACACTACATGATGCAGAGGATCAACGCAAACATTTGGGGGTTTCCCAAAATTAGGGGTCCCTTTTTGGGGTCCCTATAAGAAGGATTATAGTATATTAGGGTCTGTATTGGGGTCCCCCTATTTACAGAAACTACCATTTCAAGAACCCATTTTTCAATCCCTTCTCCGTTGTGGGTGGCTCCTCAAGACTCCACGCCACGCAACACCTTCTCAATGTAAGAGCACCGTTCTCCTTTCAGGACCTTATGAAAGGGGCCTACAAGTTTGAACACGCTCTGGGATGCATATCAAGGGTATATAGGGGTTCTATAGGG